ATGAATTATTCATTACTTCTCCCTTTGTTTATGATGGCATCTAAAGGTAGTTGTAAGAAACAATTAAACTCAGTGAACATGGTAATAATATGGCTGTGTAATGTAATAATATGGCTGTGTAGTGTAGCCCGGGGGGGGGGGGGCTACATACGTGTACTGTACCCACATCTACCACTACCTACACTGACTTCCTACAAATAAATACTACTCACCTCTTGCCCTACATTAAGACTACAAATATTTTATGGTTAGTAATGAATGTACTGTAGCAGTAAATGACAGATTAAAGAGGTGTGCGCAATGTGGACTAGGGTGCAAGCTTTTGTAGAGAATCACCACCCTAACCAAGCTGAAACAAGCCATATCTGCAACATGTTCAGTGACAAAACCCTACTACACATCAGGGAAATCTTAGAGAGACGCCAGAAACAGACCTCAATGGACAAATTTGTTGTGAGGCATTGGTCCAGTGACTCTCAAGCTGGTCCTAGTACCATTAAAAGACAAAGAAGGGAAGTAACCCCAGAGAAGACTTTGATACCTAAAGTCTTTATGGAGGGGGATTCCCCTTCCAAACACTAACTCCTCCCTCTTTCCTCTTCCCTATCTTCCAGAAGCCAGCATTAGCCTTCAATAAAGGCATGTAAAACTTATATAATTGTTAAAAAAAAATTTTTTTTTTGTCTGGATCGGATTAACTGTATTTCCATTAATTCCTATGGGAAATATTAATTCGGTTTTCGGCCATTTCAGTTATCGGCCGGCCATCTGGAATGGAGTACGGCCAATAACCGAGGGTCCACTGTACCTAATATTAGTGTCAGAACAAAGATTGAGTATGAAATCACAAGAACTGCCACAAATTGTAATTATCAGAACATAAAAATTATATAATAAAAAAAATGAGGAAAAAGGCACATCGGCAACACCACTGCAAGCAGCAGGACTCCTCACTGCCGTCACATGAGCATCCAGTGCCAACTTTGCGTTCTTATATCTCGGTAAGTACTGACCCTAAATTTTTTTAATCCTATTACATGGAGAAAAATACCCTCTTTATTTTAACCCTTTGAGGGTCCGTCGCATGGTTCTACGGCTTTGAAGCCATGGTCCAAGCTGTAGTACTACTCCATGAGCTCACCTCATTCAGATATGGTCCAAGCTGTAGTACTACTCCATGAGCTCACCTCATTCAGATATGGTCCAAGCTGTAGTACTACTCCATGAGCTCACCTCACTCAGATATAGTCCAAGCTGTAGTACTACTCCATGAGCTCACCTCACTCAGATATGGTCCAAGCTGTAGTACTACTCCATGAGCTCACCTCACTCAGATATAGTCCAAGCTGTAGTACTACTCCATGAGCTCACCTCATTCAGATATGGTCCAAGCTGTAGTACTACTCCATGAGCTCACCTCATTCAGATATGGTCCAAGCTGTAGTACTACTCCATGAGCTCACCTCACTCAGATATAGTCCAAGCTGTAGTACTACTCCATGAGCTCACCTCACTCAGATATGGTCCAAGCTGTAGTACTACTCCATGAGCTCACCTCATTCAGATACGGTCCAAGCTGTAGTACTACTCCATGAGCTCACCTCACTCAGATATGGTCCAAGCTGTAGTACTACTCCATGAGCTCACCTCACTCAGATATGGTCCAAGCTGTAGTACTACTCCATGAGCTCACCTCATTCAGATATGGTCCAAGCTGTAGTACTACTCCATGAGCTCACCTCACTCAGATATAGTCCAAGCTGTAGTACTACTCCATGAGCTCACCTCACTCAGATATGGTCCAAGCTGTAGTACTACTCCATGAGCTCACCTCACTCAGATATAGTCCAAGCTGTAGTACTACTCCATGAGCTCACCTCACTCAGATATGGTCCAAGCTGTAGTACTACTCCATGAGCTCACCTCACTCAGATATAGTCCAAGCTGTAGTACTACTCCATGAGCTCACCTCACTCAGATATGGTCCAAGCTGTAGTACTACTCCATGAGCTCACCTCATTCAGATATGGTCCAAGCTGTAGTACTACTCCATGAGCTCACCTCACTCAGATATAGTCCAAGCTGTAGTACTACTCCATGAGCTCACCTCACTCAGATATGGTCCAAGCTGTAGTACTACTCCATGAGCTCACCTCACTCAGATATGGTCCAAGCTGTAGTACTACTCCATGAGCTCACCTCACTCAGATATGGTCCAAGCTGTAGTACTACTCCATGAGCTCACCTCACTCAGATAAGCTGTGAGCGGTAAATCTGGGCCAAGATATGAGAGCATGGGTATACTTGGAGTTTACCTGGAGAGAGTTCCGGGGGTCAACGCCCCCACGGCCCAGTCTGTGACCAGGCCTCATGGTGGATCAGGGCCTGATCAACCAGGCTGTTGCTGCTGGCTGCACACAATCCATCGTACGAACCACAGCCTGGCTGGTCAGGTACCGACTTCAGGTGCTTGCCCAGTGCCTGCCTGAAGACAGCCAGGGGTCTATTGGTAATCCCCCTTATGTATGCTGGAAGGCAGCTGAACAATCTTGGGCCCCTGACACTTATTGTGTTGTCTCAATGTGCTAGTGGCACCCCTGCTTTTCATTGGGGGGATGCTGCATCGCCTGCTGAGTCTTTTGCTTTCGTAGGGAGTGGTTTTCGTGTGCAAGTTTGGTACTAGTCCCTCTAGGATTTTCGAAGTATATATAATCATGTATCTCTCCCTCCTGCGTTCCAGGGAGTACAGGTTCAGGAACTTCAAGCGTTCCCAGTAATTGAGGTGTTTTATCTCAGTTGTGCATGCAGTGAAGGTTCTCTGTACATTTTCTAGGTCAGCAATTTCACCTGCCTTGAAAGGTGCTGTTAGTGTGCAGCAATATTCCAGCCTAGACAGAAGAAGCGATGTGAAAAGTGTCATCATGGGCTGGGCATCCCTAGTTTTGAAGGTTCTCATTATCCATCCTATCATTTTCCTAGCAGATGCAATTGATACAATGTTATGGTCCTTGAAGGTGAGATCCTTTGACCTGATCACTCCCAGGTCTTTGATGTTAGTTTCTCGCTCTATTGTGTGGTTGGAATTTGTTTAATACTCTGATGAAGTTTTAATTTCCTCACATTTACCATATCAGAGTAATTGAAATTTCTCATCATTGAACTTCATATTGTTTTCTGCAGCCCATTGAAAGATTTGGTTTATGTCCGCCTGGAGTCTTGCGGTGTCTTCAATGGAAGACACTGTCATGCAGATTTGGGTGTCATCTGCAAAGGAAGACACGGCAATGTGGCTTATATCCCTGTCTATGTCTGATATGAGGATGAGGAAGAAGATGGGCGCGAATACTGTGCCTTAGGGAACAGAGCTTTTCACTGTAGCTGCCTCAGACTTTATTCTGTTGACTACTACTATTTGCATTCTATTTATAAGGAAATTATATATCCATTTACCAACTTTTCCTGTCATTCCTTTAGCATGCATTTTGTGCCCTATTACACCATGGTCAAACTTGTTGAAGGCTTTTGCAAAGTCTGTGTATATTACATTTGCATTCTTCTTGTCTTCTAGTGCATCTAGGACCTTGTCATAGTGCCAGTAGTTGGGACAGACAGGAGCGACCTGCTCTAAACCCATGGTGCCCTGGGTTGTGTAACTGATGGGTATCTAGATGGGTGGCGATCTTGCTTCTTAGGACCCTTTCAAAGATTTTTATGATATGGGATCTTAGCACTATCGGTCTGTAGTTCTCCGCCATTGCTTTACTGCACCCTTTGTGGAATGGGGCAATGTCTGCTGTTTTTAGTAACTGTGGGATGACACCAGTGTCCATGCTCCCTCTCCAAAGGATGCTAACCGTATGACTGTTTCGGTCATATATATACGTCTTACAAGCCACCATGTTTGACGTATTCACACACATAAATTCTAGCGGTTTCAAAAAAAGTGAGAGGATGCTGGTAGGCCTACATGAGAGAGAATGGGTCTGAGTGGTGGGTGTGTACCCTGTGAAAAAAATCAGGGACTCAGTGGTGCATTGTGGGAATGCCATCTTGGTAGCCCATTTTAACCATGCCTTGCGGTAAGAAGTACCTCACTCCTCGGCGAATTGGAGGTCTTTTGCTCCCAAGTGATAGCTCTAACAGTGATGGAAGTGACAGTGAATGTGAATTTCATGGTTTTGGAGTGGGTGTGACCGAAAGCAGCGCCCAGGATAACGTAATTAGTGATGAAAATCCAGATGACCCACAACCTATCACATGTGGTGTTGGGCAGTCTCATTCACGTTCATCTGTACCAGGATGAAAGAGGAAACTATTTGCCAGTGTACAAGACTCAGATGTGAGCAGTGAAAGTGATGGTGATAGTCATTTCAAAGCTACTGAAAGCAGTTCTAGTAGCGACAGTGAGGGTGAATGTTCTCCAGTGAAGCAGCAGTATATACGATGTAGCATGCATTCTGGTAGTGTGTCATATGTTATTCCAAGGGAAAGGAGTAAATCTCGGAGTACATCCCATGGCCCTACACCACGAACTGATAGTGAAGATGACGGTATTGTTACAATGGGTATGAATGATGTGAGTGAGGCAGCAGGTGGTGGTGGCATGAGTCATGTTAATGAGACAGACAGTAAAGATCAGTGGTTTAGTCAGAATGCAAAACATTTAACAGGCTTCTGTTTCATACTAATACAAGAGGAATGTAGTCCCTCCCTAGATGGTTGCTGCATGACAACATACTGCCAGACTGCAAAATATTTAATAGGTTTCTGTCTGGCACAAATGACTAAGAGGATGGTACATCCCTGGACAGTTACTTTACACCAACCTACTGTCAAAAGGCAGATCATTTCACACTCACATAAGAGGACAGTAGTACTTTCCTTCATGCTACATATTCTACACTTTCCTGATCTTCTTTCATGATTATTCTTGATTCATTTCTACATTTGCTTTCTCAAAATACAGAACTATAATATTCTCTCCCTCCCTCATAGAGGTCACTATTAGTTAAGTATCATACCTTCAGAGCTCTGGCTTGATTGGCTAGTGAGAGTGCCACACGTATCACCAGGCGACGCTCCTTGGTGCCACACCCAGAGAGCATCTGTTCTACCAAATTGAGCGCCATTAAAATATCCAACCTCTGGCCATCAAGACGAGCACTAGACACCCTCGTCTGTGAAAAAATAAGTGAGCTTGTATTATCAAAACACAGTCATACTCCGCCCTACGTCATTAATTGGTTCCATAAGCAGTGATGTAACCCAGTTTTTTTTTATGTAAACTGGACATATTGCCTTAAAAAATGCCTTAAAATTATGACAAAATGATGAAAAACTAGCATTAATAAAGAACACTAAAAACATATTTTAGTCATTTTTTTTAAAGAATAATGAACACAATTAAAGAAAATTATGATGTAGGTGACATTGCTGAGTGATGTAAAGTTGGAACATAATGATGTTCACTGAACTGAAATGTACTCTAGAAAAGTGGCATAAAGGTGAATATGATGCAGGCAAAAATGACATAAAGGGGGGTATGACTGTAATAACATCATGCATATCAACAATATACCCAGTATAAACCAATAATTTATATACACAAGTCAAAAATAAATTTTATTAACTCTAATGTTAAAATATTAAAAAGTAACCCAAGAACTCACAGCAAGCGAGTCATAAAACTCCAGACCAGCAGGTACGTCACCTGGAGTTTTATGACTCACTTGCCGCAAGTTATATCTCCATCCATACCCTGGTTTGTTTGCAATTGTGTCATTACAATTTTGTGAGCCATAAGAACAAAGGAACAATCCAGTAGGTCTACTGAGCTACACTAGACTGCTCCTTCTCAAACCTAACTCATCTTTTTTTTGATAGATTGTTCTACATGTCTAAAACCCTATTTCCAGACTTGATACCTCAAGTTCTAATGGAAGGGGATTCCCCTTCTAAACAATAACAACTTCCACACTCTCCCCTCCTCCCATCCCATCAATCATCACCAGATCTTCAATAAAGGTAAGTGTCAGTTTGTGTGTATTAAAATTAATATTTCATCTGCTAAATTTTTTTTTTTTCATACTTTGGGGTGTCTTGCATGGATTAATTTGATTTCCATTATTTCTTATGGGGAAAATTAATTCAGCTAAAGATAATTTCAGCTAACGATGAGCATTGAGGAACGAATTAATATCGTTAGCTGAGGGTCCACTGTACACCACAAAGTCATCATTTTAATCCAAAAACACGGTCGGAGTTTTTTTTCTTTCATTATGCACTGCGTGTTGCAGAATTTTTTTATATGGTGCACACTGACCACACAGACCCATTCTCTCACATGTGGACCTACCAGCTTTCTCCTGCTTGATTCGAAGCCACTAGAATTTATGCGTATTAATATGTCCAAAACAATGGCTCGTAAGACGTATATATACGCATAAATTCTAGCGGCTTCAAATCAAGCACGAGAAAGCTGGTAGGCCCACATGTGAGATGGGTCTGTGTGGTCAGTGTGCACCATATAAAAAAAATCCTGCACCATGCAGTGCACAATGAGGAAAAAAAAAAACTCCGACCGTGTTTTTGGATTAAAACACCGACTTTGTGGTGTATTTTCGTATAATATTTATGGTTGAATTCTCATTTCTTCGTCTCATTTGATAGAATGGAAAACATATTATAGAAATAGAGGTGATTTTGATTGGTTTTACTATGAAAAGAACCTGGAAATGGAGCTCAAAGTAGAGGAAATGTTTGATTTTTGCCAACGTTCAAAAGTAAACAAATGATGTCATTGTCCAATAAATGTCCAACTAGCCATTCTAATATGCAGTCATGAATGGGTTGACATTATCTGTACAATTATTACAGTAATGCAGTAGTCTGCATAACAGTAAATCTTCTATTTTTTGTTTGAATAAAAATTCAAAATAGAAAGCAAGAGTAATATCAGAAGGGCCAGGAAATGTGACTGATGAACAAATAAAATGTTATTTTTGAGTGAAGAATGTCTGCATTGTTCATTCAGGACCCTATTTGGAAATTGGCATATTTTTTAATTTGCATGAAATTGGCCAAATTGCAAATTTCTGACCACGTTATTGGGTAGTTAAAATCGGTACATGGGCAGTTTCTTGTACTCAGTTGATATAACAAATGGAATTCTTAAGAAAAATCTATGAGTTTGGTCGACTGGAACAATGGAATTAGCTGAAAATAGTGAAATATTCGTAAATATCGCCGAGGTCGCTAACTTCATGAGAGTGTAATTCCGTAAGTTTTCCATCAAATGTCGTTCTTTTGGTGTCATTACCATCGGGAAAAGATTCTCTATCATTTCATAATAAAAAATAATTTTTTTTTTTCCAAAAGTTTCTCGACACCAGGAGACACCTCAGGATTTGGGGTTGCAACAGTCAAGGGGTTAATTGTGACAAAACAGGCCTGTTTTGGAAGAAAATGCCAAACAGGACCTACATTACACAGGAGGAAAAAGCACTGCCAGGACACAAGCCTATGAAAGACAGGGTAACTATAATGTTCTGTAGTAATGCTAGTGGGGATTGCAAAGTGAAGCCTCTACTCATGTATCACTCTGAAACTCCCAGAGTGTTCAAGAAAAACAATGTCATTAAGGCTAATTTGTGTGTGATGTGGAGGGAAAACAGTAAGGCATGGGTCACTAGGGACATTTTCTATGACTGGTTTTATCATGTGTTTGGCCCCACTGTGAAAAATTACCTCCTGGAAAATAAATTGGACCTCAAGTACTGCCTGGTATTAGACAATGCTCCTGCTCATCCTTCAGACTTGCCAGAGTGAATTGTGGGGGACTTGAGCTTTTTCAAAGGCAAGTTCTTGCCTCCTAATACCACTCCTCTACTCCAGCCCATGGATCAACAGGTCATTTCAAATTTCAAAAAACTGTACACTAAAGTAGTGTTTCAAAAGTGCTTTGAAGTGACCTCAGACACTCAATTGACCCTAAAAGACTTTTGGAAAGATCACTTTAGTATCCTCAACTGCATAAACCTTATAGGTAAGGCTTGGGAGGGAGTGACTAACAGGACCTTGAACTCTGCTTAAAGGAAATTGTAGCCACAATGTGTACAAGAGAGGGATTTTGAAGGGTTTGGGGCTAACCCTCAGGAGCCTATGCCAGTTGTGGAATCTATTGTGGCATTGGGGAAGTCCTTGGGGTTGGAGGTTAGTGGCAAGGATATGGAAGAGTTGGTGGAGGATGATGATGAAGAACTAACCACTGATGAGGTGCAAGAGCATCTGCAACAGCAAGAGAAAACAACTGAGGAAACTGCTTCAGAGGAGGGGAAAGAGAGATGGAGGAATTTGCCTTCTTCAACGATTAAGGGCATTTGTACAATGTGGACAAAGGTGCAAACCTTTATGGATGAAAATCACCCTGACACAACTATTGCAAGCTGTGCTGGTGACTTTTACAATGACAATGTTGTGGCCCATTTTAGTAAAATCTTAAAGGAACACGAGGTACAGAGCTCATTGGGCAGATTTTTGGTGCAACAGAGGTCCAGTGACTGTCAATTTGTTCTCAGTGGCATTAAAAAAAGAAGGGAAGCAAAACCGGAAAAGGACTCTGTACCTAAAGTCTTTATGGAAGGGGATTCCCCTTCCAAACAATAATACACCTCCATCTCCCATCCTCCCATCTCATCACTCATCAATAAATCTTCAATATAGGTAAGTGTCATTTATTCTTCATTTAGTATTTATTGTGCATGTATCCTTGTTCTTCTGTGAAGGAGAATGTATATTTCATGTGAAAATTTTTTTTTTCATACTTTTGGGTGTTTGGAACGGATTAATTGGATTTCCATTTTTTTGATGGGAAAATTAAATCGGCTAACGATAAATTCAGCTAAGGACAAGCTCTCTGGAATGGATTAATATTGTTGGTCAAGGGTCCACTGTATTATTATTACTAATTTACGGAACTGAAGCTCTATCATTATTATTATTATTATTTTAGGGAACTGAAGCTCTATTGTTATTATAATAATTATAATAATAAAAAAATTAAGGTAGTAGGTTGGTACACAGCAACCACCCAGGGGGGTACTACCGTCCTGCCAAGCGAGTGTGAAACGAAAGCCTGTAATTGTTTTGCATGATGGTAGGATTGCTGGTGTCTTTTGTCTGTCTCATAAATATGCAAGATTACAGGTATGTCTTGCTACTTCTACTTACACTTAGGTCACACTATGCATACATGCACATGTTTATTTATACACACTCATCTGAGTTTTCTTTGATTTTATCTTAATAGTTCTTGGTCTTATTACTTTTCCTTTTATATCCATGGGGAAGTGGAATAAGAATCTTTCCTCCGTAAGCCATGCGTATTATAAAAGTCAACTAAAATGCCGGGAACAATGGGCTAGTAACCCCTTTTTCTGTAAAAATTACTAAAAAGAATAAGAAGAAAATTGTCAAAGTGGGAAGTCTGAATGTGCGTGGATGTTGTGCAAATGATAACAGAGATGATTGTGGATGTTATGAATGAGAAGAAGCTGGATGTCTTGGCTTTTAGTGAAACAAAGCTGAAGGGGGTGGGAGAGTTTCAGTGGAGAGGAATAAATGGGATTAGGTCATGGGTTTCAAATAGAGTTAGAGATAAAGAAGGAGTAGCAATAATGTTGAAGGATAAGTTATGGCAGGAAAAGAGGGACATCAAATGTATTAATTCAAGGATTATGTGGAGTAAAATAAAGGTTGGATGTGAAAAGTGGGTTATAGTAAACGTATATGCACCTGGAGAAGAGAGAAGTGTAGAGGAGAGGGAGAGATTTTGGGAAATGTTGAGTGAATGTATGGGGAGTTTTGAACCAAGTGTGAGAGTAATGGTGGTTGGGGATTTCAATGCTAAAGTGGGAAAAAATGTTGTGGAGGGAGTAGAAGGTAATTTTGGGGTGCCAGGGGCAAATGAAAATGGGGAGCCTTTAATTAAGCTATGTGTAGAAAGAGGTTTGGTAATAAGTAATACATATTTTATGAAGAAGAGGATAAATAAATATACAAGGTATGATTTAGCACGTAATGAAAGTAGTTTGTTAGATTATGTATTGGAGGATAAAAGGTTGATGGGTAGGCTCCAGGATGTACACGTTCATAGAGGGGCAACTGATATATCGGATCA